TGTGTGTGTGTGTGTGTGTGTGTGTGTTTTGTGTGTGTGTGTGTGTGTGTGAGAGAGAGAGAGAGAGAGAGAGAGAGAGAGAATATATATGAATGTGTTTTTTTAAGTAATTGTCCTTTTATCTTCCCAGTTGGCCAGTTATTCTTCTTTACTTTCTATTTCTCAATCAAGTCTTCAGAGGCCTTACTCCTTATCTCTTAAATCAGTCCACTTTTCTCTATTCCTCCTGTTACCCCCAGTTTAGTTCTTGCCAACTCACCTTGTTTTTTATCCAAAATGTTGCAGCAAATTCCTAATTGTTCTTCCAGCTTCTAGACTTGCCTCCTTGGAATTCAGTCTGTACATCATAGTGGAGTGAACACTCACTGGTAGTTAATAATATTATTTATAAATTATATGGTATTGAATTTTTCTATTGAAAGACAATAAGATATGTGAGTATTTCGTGTATATTTTGTAGCTAAGTATATTATAGCTGAAACTAAACTTGTTTTATCTGCTAATGGGTATTTACTATTAATGATGGTTTTATTTCCTTTTTTTCCCCCTGTTCTCTGAAATGTACATTACCTTGTGGAAGTGTTATGCTTCTGCATTTTTGCCACATATAGTAAACAATGGAACTTCACTTCAACTATATCTGTTAATCTAGTCACTTAAAATTACTTGTAGTTTCAAATTTGTCTGTCTGTTTGTGTTTTGTGCTTTTTGCATATGCCATGGTCTTGGAAGAAATATTTTCCCTCACTAGTCTCCCTGAGATTCTTTTCATTATTCTTTAAAGCCCTGTTTATGTTTCAGATTCTTTTTATTCCTTCTTTCTCCAAGTACTGTGATCTTTTATATTATTTGTATTTCCATAGTGCTTTGCTGTTCTCTTACTTTCAAAAATTTCTCTATTGTGCAATGATTTGTTTCTCTCTCACCATATTTAGTTCCTTGAATTCCTTAAAGGCAGAAACTATCTCACTTATTTATTTTTTTATTTTTTGATGTCTCAGCCATCTAATGTATCTGATCCATATGTAATGACTGTTCTGTGAAAGACTTTTATTGAACTAAATGGTTTGGTGATGTTTTTGATTGTAGACAATAGCTGTTATATCATATTTAGCTTTAACATTTATGATAAATAAAGCAGTCAAGAACACAGTGATGTAAAGAATACAATCCTCTCCCTTCTATATAATATCCCATTTAAAAATTTTTTTTTAACATTTATTTTTAGTTGTAGTTGGGTACAATAATTTATTTATTTATTTTATGTAGTGCTGAGGATCAAACCCAGGGCCTCGCCTGTGCTATGAGAGTGCTCTACCGCTGAGCCATAACCCCAGCCACTAATATCCTATTTTTTTTTTAACAGACTAGACTATCAGGTTTGGAATTATGGGCCAGGCCCTATACTGAGAGCTTTTCATGTTATTTTACTTAATTCTCAAAAAACCCTATAAAGTAAATATTAATTCTTTGTTTTGTACATGAAGAAGTAAAGGATAGATAGCTTAGGGAAATTATGCAAGATATACAGCAAGATTTTAAGATAGGTCTGTGTGATTGCTATTCTTCTCAGTCACAAATGTTGTATACAACCTGTATTTAAAAGGAAGAGCAATACTTCAAAATACATGATTTTGTTTTTAATTTATATAACTTCCTATATCAAGTTATTATTGCATTAGTATTTTTATCATAATTATTTTATATTAAAAAGATGTAACAATTGGGTTTAGTTTTAGGTATATCTAAATAGGGTCTTTTGACTAAACTACATCTTACCATTTTATTTTTTACATTTTCAATAGTGGTAAGTTATGACCCACAATTGCTAATTATAATAATATTATATCTTTAGTGACTTATTGCAGTTAAATTTTTCTTTGTAGCCACATTGTTTAATAGATTTTAAGCTAATATGTCAGAAATAACTTTTAGAAGCAATATGCATAATTCATGTAAAATTATATTTTGTTTAATTTTGATAGTAGATGATGAAATTATTGATAAACAATGAGGCTATGTTTTATTATCTTTGTACCTAAAAACTTTATTACTAAATATTTTTTGTTTTTTCCTTTAACTTAATTAGGATTTTCTTTGTGAAAAAGACAATATATTTTTCTGATATTTGTGTATTTAATTGCTTTTATGGAAACTATTTTGTTTATATATTGTAGTAGCATGCTTTTGCTTGAATTGTATTATATATGGAAAAATGTCCCTCCTAAATTTTTAATTTTAAATCTAAACTTTTAGATTTCAGTCAAAATGTGATTTAAACATTTTCAGAATTTTTATTTCATTAGCAAACTCTTATTTGTTTTAAGAATGGAATTAATAATTTCTTTTTTGTTTTGTCTTTTCTGTCTTTTTTAACTTGCTTTCGTGGATAATCACACCAGGAGGACAAAGTGGTTAGAGTCTTTTTTTTTTTCCTGTCTAATATGATTTTTTCCTTGTTGTTGTTATTGCCAGTTTTAGTTTTATAGCTATATTCAATTTAAGTGTTTTGTTACAGTTGTATTGCATGGTAGTTGCTAAGCATTATGGCATACTTAAGCATGCTGATTTTACTGAAAAACACATTTTATTTTGATGAAAATTAATTATCTGATTTTTAAAGAGGCTTGACTTTTTAGAATTTAATATTTTTTCAAGATCTCATAGAATTCCTCATTGTGATAAGAACTCCTTTAATCTTGCAATGTTTCCCTAAACTCATCATTGTACTGATGGGTTTATAAAAGAAACTTCTGACTTAGTTAAAAGTAAATCTTTGTAATAATAAGTTACAATAACATTGAAAATGGGTTTATTGAAGTATATATTTGGCAGTTGATAATATTTAACATTTTTCTTGATAATATGTTTTAGAATTTGATAAAATATCTGCCTTATATCCTCATGTTTACATTAGATATATTTATAATTTAAAAATAGATGACACAGGTGGATATGACTAGACTTTAGGCTGGACTTTATTAATCTGCTACTGTTCTACCATGAGGTGTTAGATTTGGATTTAGATCTCTTCTGGAGACTGGGTCACTACAGGTAGACACAACCTTTCTATTTTGGTTTATTTTGATGAATCAAACTAAACCTAGAAGTCTCTTCAAGTTGTCCAATTTCAAATTGGCATAAAACCCTAAGAAACACCCTTTAACTGAGATCTTCTAAGCAGTATCTTCTTTTGTTAAACATTTTAAGCCTTTTTGTTCCATTCAAATTCTCAATTATTTGTTTGAGGGTAATGCATGTGTTGGCAAATACTGAATGTGGGTTTAGAATGAAATTTCTGAGCAGAAAAGAGGACACTGCAATTTCTGTCTTTTATTCCCCCCAAACTTTAGAGGCAGTTGTTACTATATATGGGTCAATTTCTGTAAACATGTCTCAAATTGTGCATCATCCTTGATCCAAGGTAGTTTCCCCAGAGAACCTATGAGCTTTCTACCAGTCCATTATACTAGCTAACAGTTAACACAATTCAGGCAATTCATTACCTTTAGAATCTCTAGTGCTACTTTCATGGCCAGAGTTAACACAGAAAGCATAATGATCTAATTAGTGCCTGTGGTTTCTATAATGAATTGACATAGACATACCTATCCCAAAAATGAGGCACTTAATGATGAAATCTCAGCTATAGAAATGACTTTCATGTACTGACAAGATTTCATAGTTATTAGCCTATATTTTAATTAAGGATTGAATGACAGATGAAAGTATACTGTGATAAAATTTCTGTGAATTTGGAACATTGGAAATAAAATTCAATAAGCCTTATTATGATATTCTATATACAGTACTGTTTAATAGAGCTTTAAGCAATGTGAAACTTTTTTATATATTCACTATCCAACAGAGTAGTTTCCAGTCACAAGTAGTTCTTGACACTTGAAAATGGTCTAGACTGAGAAATTGAATATTAAATTTTAATTAATTTAAATTTAAATAGTCACATGTGGCTAATGTCTAGAGAAACCCTAAACATAGGTAACAAACATTCTCTGCAAGAGTCTGGAAGAATATAAAACTTAGCTTCCCTTGCAACTGGTAATGGCTTTGTGACACAGTTCTAACAAATGGATAGAAGAAAATTTCTGAAGGCTTCTGGAATGATAAAAAAGATGTAGCTAGCACTGTCTTTTAATGCAAAGGTGATGACTGCCATTTGTGAAGATGAGGGAAAGGCCAAGACTATTGGAGTCATCAATCATGACATTATTGAGCCTGATATTCGAGAAAGTGTCAGTGGTTCTGAAGAGTGGCAGATCTGAAACTTGAAAGATGAGAAATTTGTTGTTTGGATAAAGAAGATAAAAAGAGGAGTTAAAGATGACAACTATATGTTTGCTATCATTTCACAGTTACCTTGTGTGTGTGTGCAGTGAGAGCATTTAAGATTTACTTTCTGAGCAAATTTCAATTATATGATAGAGTATTATTAATTTTAGTTACGTTATATATATAGGTCTTGAGAATATATTCATTTTGCATAACTTAAAACTTTATACTCTTTGACCAACATCTACCCATTTCCCTCCTCCCCTATCCCCTGGAAACCACCATCTTACTCTGTTTCCATGAGTTTGACTTTTTAAGAGAAATTATGCAGTAGTTTTGTTTTTGTACTGGTTTATTTCACTTAGTATAATGTCCTCCAGGTTCATCTATGTTGTTGCAAATGACAGGATTTCCTTCTTTTGGAAGGCTGAATAATATTCCATTATATATAAGTACCACATTTACTTTATCCATTCATGTGTTGATGAATACTTAAGTGGATTTCATATCTTAGCTATTGTGAATAATGCTGCAATAAATATGAGAATGCAAATATCTCTTTGACATACTATGTACATTTGCTTTGGGGAAATTACATATCACATACACAGATATATATATATACACACACACACACACACAGATATATTCATATGTGTGTGTGTGTGTGTGTGTGTGTGTGTGTATAATCTCCAGTATATATGGCAATCCCAAAATAGTATTTGTATTTACCATAAGGCTTATATAAAGCATATTATAATTGTAAAAGTCTATTTTAAGGGACTAGTAACTTTGCATACAAAAACTGCACACTTTAATTTCTCCTTTCATATTTTATATTAATGATTTTTTTGTATTTTTTACTCATTGACAAGTTATTATGGCCATAATTGTTTTGAACATTTTGTCCCTTAATTCTTATACTGGAGTAAGTAGTGATTAGCATACCACTACTATAGTGTTTGGGTATTCTGATTCTTGCCTTTACAGTAAGTTTAGCACTTTCATATTGTTTCATGTTGTTAGCCAGTGTCCTCTCATTTCAGTTTTAGCATGTCTTCTAAGAAAATTCTAGTGTTGATAAACTCCTCAGCTTTTGTTTATATGTGAAAGTCTTTATCTTCCCTTCATGTTTGAAGGATAGTTTTGCTGGGTATATTATACCTTATTGGCAGGTTTTTACTTTTTTTTTTTTTGGTCACCATTTTCAATATATCATCCTACTCTGTCCTGGCTTGCAAAATTTCTTCTGAGAAATCTATTGACACTTTTGTTGGGATTCCCATTTTTTTGTAACAAGTCACTTTTCTCTTGCTGCTTTCAAAATTCTCTTTGTCTTTTGACTTTTGAGAACTTGATTATAATTTGTTTTAGTAGAAATCTATGGTTATTTTTTAATTCAAAGCAGTTTATTGTAATGTAATACACATATAATTCATCCTTTTAAAGGGTACAATCCAATGTTTTTTTTTAATATGTTCACAGACTTTGCAGCCATTACCACAATTTTAGAGTATTTTTATCACCCAAGAAACTCCATAACAGTTAGCAATCATTTTCAATTTCTACCTCCCATGTCTTTTCTTATTTCTGAACCCCTGGTCCCAGGCAATTAATTTTACTTATTTTTATTTGCCCTTTTGGGACTTTTCTTCCTTCTTCTCTGTGTTTGCATGTCTTTTGTCAAACATTCCCCCTTCCCTCTGTAATCACTATTTTATTCTTTTTTTTAATATTTATTTTTTAGTATTCGGTGGACACAATATCTTTATTTTATTTGTATGTGGTGCTGAGGATCAAACCCAGTGCCCCGTGCATGCCAGGCGAGCGCATTACCACTTGAGCCACATTCCCAGTCCTCACTATTCTATTCTGACCTTCTAGGATATCAGCTTTTTTAGTGTCCACATATGAAGGTAATCATATGATATTTATCTTTCTGTATGAGGATTTTTTCACATTATGTTCTCCATGTTCATGTTACCGACAGGCATTTGTTCTTTTTCATGGTCAAATAATATTTCATTGTGTATATATACTACATTTTCTTAACTCATTCATTCCTTGATGGACACCTAGATTGATTCCATCTTTTGGCTATTGTGAATAGTGCTACGGTAAACACAGGTGTGCAGATATCTCTTCAGGATGCTGATTTCATTTCCTATGAATATATATCCAATAGTGGGGTTACTGGATCATATGGCAGTTCTATTTTTAACTTTTTTAGAAGAGACTCACCAACATTTTGATTGAAGCTTTAGTATTATTAAAATGTAGAAGATTGTGTCAGGCATATAAAAGGAACTTAGCTAACACTGGCTGCATCAGTCCTGGTGATTCTTTATCTGTTTACATCAGCTTCCTCTCTTTTGATCTGGTCATTTCAAAGAGAACTTTGAAAGTAAAATTGAACAGTTAAATTAAATATTGTGACAATTATCTCTTTATAATGTGTTCCCCACGCCTCAGTATACATTCTAAGGGGCTGCTTTCTGTGTGTGTCTCAGGGACCAATAGTTTCTAGCACCAAAGTATAGTACAAATCTAATAGTGTTCATTGTCGCAGGGTATTATTTGTATTATAGATTATATCTTTAAGAGCCATTGGTGTATATCTTGGGGTCTGTTACACTGTTAAGGCTTGCTCTTATATTGTGTGGTGAAAGTAGATGAAAATGTGCATAGGCAATAAAAAAGTATGCTCTTACCTGGAGTGTTCTACAAGTATAGGTAAATATAACTTGAAATAGGAATTAAAGTTCAGCATTTTGTTACATCAAACTAACTGGATCTTAACTATCTGAGACCCCACCAGAGTGTAATTAACCTGGGAATTGACCAAATTGGATCTCTAAGAATAGCTCTGTATTAACTTTAGCGGTCCGCAAAGTTAAGTGACCGCGGTTTTCAATGAATAAGTAGTGATTCCTCAGAGACTTGTGTCTGCTCGGGAGGATTTGCTGGTTTAATTTTTTGTCTAAAATTTATTTTTAAGTACTTATAATAGAATTTGCTGAGTTGTTTGTGTGTCTTTTAAAAATGATGGAGCATTGTTCTTCAAACTGAGGGTTGGCTTATTTAGTTGAAGATGGAACCAAGTGAGGCTAGTGTTAAACCAACT